GCAGTTTGCACGTCGATGCACCGTGCGCGCAACAACAGGAGAACAAAGGATACGCGACGTGGAAAACGTGGCCGTGCCTCTTCTTTTTCTTCTTTTTTCTCTTTTTTTTTTTATCTTTTCCTTTCCTCTCTCTCTCTTGCACACACACACACATACGTTCACATTCGTCCCTCGAAGAAGTCTCGAGATCGGGAGGGGTTGTCGCGCGCGATGTTATTCCTTCGTTCCCGCTCTTCGTTCGGAATAGGGCAAAATTAATTATTATTATTACGCGTAGAAATGAGATATTACGGTAACGATCGCGGTATTGAAACCAAGCGATACGGATGAATGGATGCGAGAAATAAAAAAAAGAATTAACGTCGAGATAATCGATAACGTATAGGAATATTTTCCAAATATTTTCCTTCTACGAATTAACGATTACATATTTTCTTTCTCCATCTTATTTTTGAATTCCGAGTTATTTCGTAATATATCCAGTTAAACCATTAATACTACGCACATTGTCATCTGTGAAGTACGAAAATTTTGTTTCTCAAGCTTATTTGAATTACCATCCTTCTCTCCATATTTTTGAATTTTCGAAGTGATTTCAAGGTTAGTTCTCGCTGAATCTCCACGTTATTTGCAACGTTGTGAAACGAACGAAGAGAAACTAAACTCTGGAGACTCGATATATATATATATATACATTATATTAGTACCAGTCGTTACTTTATTTTTATTTTTATTTTTTCCACTCTAATGCACCTCGAATTGCCTAAATAAATTACATTAGGATACTATCTCGAGAATAAAGTTGTATTCTTCGTTTCCGCTCTATTGGAGTCGGACAAAATTAATTATTATTGCGCGTAGAAATGAGATATTACGGTAATGATCGCGGTATTAACCAAGCGATACGGATGAACGGATACCAGAAATGGAAAAAGAATTAAGATAATCGATAGCACGTAGGAATATTTTCTAAGCTTGTACGATTACATTTTTCTTTCGCTATCTTATTTTTGAATTTCGAGTTATTTCACAATATATATATATGATTTAACTAATATATATATATATATTAGTTAAATCAATAATAGTCTACGTATTATCATCTACGATGAAATACGAAAATTTTGTCGAGGTGATTTCAAGGTCAATAGCTCGCACATTATCTACAACGTTGTGAACGAAACGAAAATTACCCAGTTCACGAATCTAAAGTTTCTAAAAAAAATAGTAAACAAACGAGGAGAAACTAAACTCGATTACATTAGAACCAATCTCGTTGAAAAATAAGAACGTATCGTCGGTGTATTTTTTCTATCTAATGCAGCTCGAATTGTCTATAAATAAATTACATAAATATATTCTCTCACTTCACCACTGATAAAATTAATTATTTTTCCGCGTAAAAATAAATGTTCATATGTTACGGTAATCGTCGGTGTTAACCAAGATTTGGATTCTTTCACTTCAAAGTGTTCGAATCTCGGTGGAACTGATCCGAACGAGGATGAAAGAGATCGTGGCGCAAAGTCGAGACACTGTTTCTTCTCGTTTCTCTCGGAAAGGCGCATAGGAATAGGCGTATAGGCGGGAAAGCAGCGAGTACACGAAGGTAGAACGTGACCTGGCTACGTATACAAGTTCCCTTTCTCGACTTTGCCCGATCCCCTATGCCCGGCTATTCGTCTTTCCTCCGTGTTTGACGGACGTCTGATGTTCAAGGCCGGTGAAAACGTGCCGCCTACCGATCCGGAATCGAACCTCGGCCGATTCTAGTAGACCGTTTCTCTGAATGGCAGATACGCGATCAAGG